GGTCATCCTCCCGCATGGTGCGTCGATCCCACACTTTGCAGATGGCATCGTCTCCCCCAGAGAACAGGATTTGGGAGCTTATATCAGCAAAGGCCACTGCATTCACGTCATCCTCATGGGACTCAATCTAGGCGAAAAGGAGGCCAGTATATAAGACCTCTTTCTAGGTCTTATAATAAGCCAAAGACCAGGAAACAGAGGCTCTCTCTCAGGAGCCATACCTGAAGGGTGCGCCGGTTCTGTTCTCGGTCAAAGACATACAGGCAGCCATCATTGGCCCTGAAAGGGAAGGGATAAAGGAGGGTCCTGGAGCCATGATCGAGAGGACCAATATGGTATATGCTCCAGAGAGTTCCACTGAGAAATCCTGCTCTGGGTCAAGTCCTTTGCTCTTTTTATATAGGAAGTCGGGGAAAAGTTAGCTGTGTTTCAAGGAGGCTTGACAACTCCCATCTTGTGCTGGGAAAATGGAGAGCAAGGGGTGAAGCAACCTGTAAATCCTGACCTTGGAGAAGGTCGGGTTGCTCTCTGCAGCTGCCAGTGCCATCTGTGTAACAGCAGAGCTCATCTCTGACAGAACCCCCATCTTGTTATTGAGGGAAACATACCCCATAAGCACTCACCCTCCTAGTACTTCTCGTCCATCTGAGGACACAGCAATGGAGAAGACAGCAAAGCGACGCTCATCTGGCCTGAAAGCAAAGAAGGAGCTGGGTTAAGCAGACTTCCCTTCAGCTTTTGTTAATCTACATAGAATCTGACAATGGTTGTAAGGCACATCCCCAGGAGAAAAAAGAAGTCTGGCTAACATGTACCACAATGCAGATCCTCAGTGAGAACCCAGAAATCATCCCACAAGCATCTATTTTACCCAGTCCTCTGGCTGACAAGATGGTGCTTCCCTCCCAGGAATGCACACAGACCCATCAGTATACTTTTTCCCCTAAGCAGAACTTCCAACTCAAGAGGTTTGCTCCTGAAGAGCTTCCCTTGAGAAGTTTCTGATGAGTCTGACCAGAAAGGGAAGCCAGTACCTGAGATCCAGGGCAGTGTGTGTATCTCCCTCACCATAGATATTGCAGATATGAACTAAGAGAAGCAAAAAAACAAGAATCTTTCAGGGATGGGGGAAGGAGAGTGGAAGTGAAGCTAGGGAAGAGGTCAAACAGAGGACAAGGGTACTGGAGCACTTTGGGAGTGATTTTCCCAGGACAAAGTGAGGGATCCTGGCTCAGAGGGGACAGGCACATGGAAACCTCAGGTCCCAGGCTGGAGAGTCAGTGGAAGCCTGGTGCATACTCACTGTAATCAGACCAGCTGGAGTAGAGGAAGTGGTTTCCATCGGGGGTGAAGGCCACATCCAAGACGCTCCAGCCTACATCGCGGGCCTTGATGCTCTTGAATTTACGGAAACGGCCATACCGGCAGTCATACAGTCGGATTGTCTGGTCTGTATAAGTAGAGATCAGGCAGAATTATGGAACACTTTCCTTGTAACTTTCCTAGATTAGACGTCTCCCATTCAGTGTACCTGTGGAGTCTTCCCTTTATCATGGGAAACATGCTCTGACTAAGCATCCTTAAGCCAGGTCTGAGCTCCCCATCTGTGGCTTTCTAGCCTCAGTCAGGGGGAACATTCCATGTCCCAGGAAAAGACAGTTTATAGGACCAGGGTCTGGTACCTTGGCAAGCAGACATGAATATTTGACCATCTTTGCTGTAGATGCCACAGAAAGCCTTCTGAGAGTAGCTATCAGTGAAGCCCAGGTCATTGGGCAAGAAGCTAGGGAAGGAGAGAGAAAGTGAGGGTAAGCGGTGCTCAGGATAAGGAGTGTCCCAATTAGCAAAATCCTAACAAAGCTGGAATATCAGAACAGTCATTCTTCCCTTTTGGCTGTGAGTGCAATCCCGTCTTTCAATCATTCCACCATCCTCTAAATTTCTATAATTTTCTACACTTTTCCACTTTGCTTACTCTCAAAGTTTCAACCCCATTTAACCTAACCTTTAATCTCTGAGGCTCCTTTAACACCTACCCCTTCAAAGTTTAGGAGATAAGACCTATCTGGCCCTTAGAGTCTCTTCACCGAGCCCCATACTCACTGAGATATCACTCGAGACTGTTCTCCAAGGGAGAAGCTTCCCCGGTGGCAGAGGCCCCGTTCTCTCTAAATGGAAGGGATTGGGGAATATTGCTAGCAGAAATAGAGGGCCACTTCAGCCATATCAAACCCCCTCCTCCAAAGACATTGCTCTTGTTATAGAAACGGACACAACACATCGTAGTCTGTCCCATGGAACTCCAATGGGGGCTGGTTAACTCTCCAGCCCCAGCCCTTGAGGCTTCTTCCTTGGAAAGTTGACTTCCTTTTTCTCTGGGGCTGGCAGAGATTCTGGCTGCTTTGGCAGGCCTGCTGCCAGGCTGGGAGGTGGAGAGGCCTACCTGGTGCAACATTCGAGGAAAGCTGTGCTTCTGGGTGGCCCGCCTAAGCCCCAGCTGCCCTGTGGCCAGTTCCACTTGTGTCTTGATCTCATTGCATTCCAGCTCCCGGGTGTCAGGGGTAGCATCCACTGTGAGTACCAAGTAGAAGTTTCATCCTAGGTCTTCCAGCCTCAGAGGACAGTTAGCAGAACTGTACCCAAGCCCACCCCTGTGGCTGAATATACTGGGGCTGTAAGGACTCCTTATTCCTTAAATTATCGTACCTTCTTTCAATGTAACCTATCATTCAAAATATCACTAAAAGGTTTTCCAGTAAAAGTCTTCCAACATTAGGGACTTTTCCTCTTACCGGGTGGGTTGTATCGATCCCCAAGACGACCATCCCAAGCTCTGTCATTCTCTTCCTCTGAGTCCAAGAGGGCCTGAATGAATTGTAAATTTGCTGCACCTCCTCCCTGCACCAACCTCACTTGGCCTCTGTGGAGAGACCCCCATTATAAAGGAGGGGACTTCTTCCCCCAAACCAACCAAATTCAGAGTAAATGGCTATCTAGCTCTTAGACCACTTGGTACTCATTTTGAGGTTGGAGGCTGATTAGACCTTGGCTGTTATTTTTTGGTCTCCTATAAAACACAGTAGGAAAGTGAGTCTTACTCTTAAGCAAGAGTAAGACCAACATGCTGTGGACGTGACCTACTAAGTTGACCTCCCAGAGAGCTAAACATTCTAACTGCATTTCCTTAGAGCAAGAGCAAGACTAATACGCTGTGGACATGACCTACTAAGTTGACCTCTCAACGAGCTAAACATTCTCACAGCATTTCCTTCTGAGCCTCTGCCTGAGAAGTCCACCACAGAAGACAATATTCTAAGCTGGGTGCGGTGGTGTGTGTAACTGTAGTCTTAGCTAACTGGGAGGCAAAGGATTGTTTGAGCCCAGGAGTTGCAGGCTGTGGTGTGCACTGTGATCACACCTGTGAATAGACTGTTCTCCAGACTGGGGAACACAGTGAGCCCTGTCTATGTCTACTAAACACAACACAAAACACAAACAAAAAAGAATACAATATTCTGATGGCACCCCTAAGCTCATCTTCTCCTCAAAGAGCCATAAGCAAAGAAAGCAAGCCAGCTGCACTCTTTTCCAGTCAATTCCAGGTGGTCTCTCCCTTCAAGGTATTCTTTCCTCAAGAACAAGTCAGAGTTAGGGCAAATTAAACTTGTTTTTCAAGTAAATCGAAGTGACCTCATCGAAGTGGCCTCATATCACGTGTCAACTGACTAACCAAAAAGTTCAACACTCCCTTTCCATCTCTTCACCCCTTATATCACTGCTTTTCCACCAGGAACCTCCCCCTACCCTTTTTTTTTTTTTTCAAACTTACTTGGAAAATAGATTATATTTGTGTAGTCACAGAGAAAGGCTCCCCTGAATAGCCTCTCAAACACATGAGCAGGTCCTCTTGGTGACCCTCCCTAGGTAAGAACCACTCTTACTGGGTATGAAGCTGAGTGCCATGGGTGCCCAGCAGGCAAAGGCTGTTCCGCTCAAACAGAACAGCTGTCCTGAGTGAATCCTATTTCCTAACCTCTGTAATTTTCCTGCCTGGAGATGGGATCAAGGCACTGTGGTAGCACCTGGTAGGGTCACACCAGAGGGTAAGTTACCTGCGGAGGAGATAGGCCAGTACCTGGGCCAGATCCACATCTTCATCCTCTTCTTCCTCTTCCTCACTCCGACGCAGGCCAGCCCCTCTTCGGGACAAGCCCTCGGAGGGGTCTCCGGACCCGGATCCTGCACTGCTGCTGTTCCGTGATCCCATCTTCTGGTCACAGCATCCTTAGGTACTGTGCGAGGGCTCCGCCTGTCACCTCCTTGGGTTTGGTGAAAGCAAAGCGTGCTCTAGAAATACCAGGGTCTCCTGAGACGGGGTAGTAGCTATCTCTAGGAGGGTGACCCTTCCTCGGGGCTGAGATCCCTTTGCTTTAGCCTATGCCAACTACCAAGGCGTCGGTAACACAAACCTTCCCCAATCCTGTGAAGCAAAGAAAGCAAGAGTGAACCGTAGTGCGCTACCCTAGCTCACCAACTGAAGAAAGATTTGTTTTCTACACCAAACTCACCTATCGCAGTCTCTGGACAGGGGAGAGGGAGGGGTGTTGGGCGGTGTAGGATTCCCAGGTAACCTCTCTGACAGACCAATCGAAATCCCTCGCGGAAGAAAGCGCTTCACTAGCTTATCTCATCTAACCAATGAGAAGCCTTACGACTCAAAGACCCTCGGCACCCCCCCTTACCGACCAATCAGAGCGCCTCCTTACGAAAGCCGGCAGCAATAACAGCCAATGAAAATAGAATTTGGCCTAACACCCCTCCTTCCTTGCCTCACGCCCACGTGGTGCGCCGGGGGTGTGTACGCCAAGAGGGGGAGGAAGCCGAGAAGCACCTCCCACTGAAGCCGGCGGTTACCGCCCCACGAGAGACCACCCACCAGCCAGGAGCGGTCGCAGGACCCGCAGCGGCGCGAGGCCTTGTTTACACCGACTGCAGCCACTGCGTTGGCCAACCGCTGCTCCGTCACGCGCCTGGCTCGTCACGCATCTCGCGGCTTCCCGGCCGGCGGGCTGCAAACGTCACACGACGGCCCCGCCCCCTTGGCCCGCCAACTGGACAGCGGAGCGCGATGATTGATAGGTAGGCGGGAGAATGCGCGAGGGGCCTGAGGGGAGGAGAAAGTGCTCACCCGAAAAGGGCTGTTAGCTCTTGTTGGGTAGGACTAAGTGGGAACTGACAACTTCCTGGATCAGAGACAGCCGAACTAGACGTAATGGCTGAGAGGCGGGGCTTTAAAAAGAAACGATTGGTGGTTCGCTACCGAGAGGTATTTTAGCAAGGGTACAATTTACTGTCGGTCCCTAAAGATCATTTAGCATCGCACTTTTCAGACAGTGCCCAGGGGCCTCCTCTTTAAGCCCACTGCTTCCCCCGTCGAGCTGGAGCCGTTCTCCTGTCGCTGGCTGCGGTTCCAGTCTGTCCTGCCCGAAGGAGTGCCCGGCGTCCCAGTAGGTCTCCACACCGTCCTTCCGGGCTTAGCTTTTCGAAGCCTTGCTCTTGAGACGGCCTCCTTTTAGACCTCCCTTTATCCGCTCGGCAATTTTTTAAGACAATGCCTGGCCTTCTGCCGCGGTCTTTGCAGACGTTCCCTAATACACGCATCTTTCTCTCAAAGCTTTTCCGGTTCCGCTGTCCATTTAGACGCTCCCTTGGCCCTCCGGGATTTGCAGACCTTCCCTAGACCCTCCGTCCTCACAGTGCCTTTCCCTCCCCGGCCGTGAGTCCAGGGTGCGCGCGCGCCGCCTCCTGCCCCCTCCTGCCCCCTCTTGCGGGTTTATGAGTAACAAGCATGAGTCCAAGGCCGGGACTTGCCATATCTCTGAACCTCGGCCTGGCTGGGTGGGGAAGTGTGTGGGGTTGAATGACCTTGCTGTCTCCGGCTCAGAGGCCCAGGGTCCGAGCTGAACTTCAGTCCCCGCAGCCTGCACTCCCTTGGGAAAGCTGCGAACTTCCCTCCTCCCGCTCCTGAGGGCAGCGACGGGAGCGAGGGCTCGTGGCCCTCTTGGGCCCTCCTGGGGTCTCTCCCAGTGAGGGCGAGGGTTTGGCCAGCTTTCGGGCGACGTCTTCTAGTCTCCAGACCCGGAGGCCTGAGCTTGTCACCAGGGCTAGCTTTGATGGGCTCTGCGCTTAGAAGGGTCCTGAATGCTTAGTTTAATGTTCTACTGTTAACGGTCTTGAAATTATCAATAATTTCAAAGCAAGTGCCTGGCATTTTCAACTTGCACTGGACTCCACTGATTATGTAGGCGGTCTGTAGGCAGTATGCTGGGCGCCCATCCTCTATTGCCAGATTACTTACTATCTGTGCTTGAACGTTTATTGAGACTTTAAGATTCCGTGGTTTCTGGGTTATCCAGCCTGGAAAATCGGGATCGTTATTGATTGATTGATTTTACCTGCATTCTCTCAGAATGTTACGGAATCATTTTTTAAAACATTGGCCGGGCGCGGTGGCTCACCCCTGTAATCCCAGCACTTTGGGAGGCTGAGGCGGGTGGATCAACTGAGGTCAGGAGTTCGAGACCAGCCTGGCCAACACAGTGAAACCCTGTCACTACTTAAAAAAAAAAAAGCCGGATGTGGTGGTGTGCGCCTGTAATCCCAGCTACTCGAGAGGCTGAGGCAGGAGAATCGCTTGATCCCGGGAGGCGGAGGTTGCAGTGAGCCGAGATCACGCCACTGCACTCCAGCCTGGGCTATAAAAGCGAAACTCAAACAAACAACAACAACAACAACAACAAAAAACCAACTAAACAAACAAAAAAACACCTACGTCTCTTCCGCCAGTTGATCTGTTGAAGAATCCTCCTCTAACAGCGTTTCGTGCTTAAGAACCCACAAGTGAGCCGGGTGCGGTGGCTCACGACTATAATTCCAGCACCATGGGAGGCCGAGGAGGAGGATCATTTGTGGCCAGGAGTTCAAGGCCAGCCTGGGCAACATAGTGAGACCCAGTCTACAAAAAGAAAAAAAATAGCCGGCCATCGTGGCGCGTGCCTGTGGTCCCAACTTACTTGGGAAGGCTGAAGGAGGGAATCTTGAGCCCATGAGGTGGAGGCTGCAGTGAGCCATGATTGCTACACTGTACTCCAGCCTGGGCACAGAGCTAAAGCCTGTCTCTAAAAAAAGAAAACCAACAAATGGCTCACTATTGTTCATTGTTTCAAATACAAACTTCCAAACCTGGTTGTCTATATTTAGTAACCTCATTTTTTGATAATTCTGCCAAGCAAATATGCCAATAAATACCTTGTTTATTTTTACCTCTGTACCTTCCCAGGAAAATTTCTTATCAGAGGGAGGCTGTCTCTACCCCAACTCCCTTCCTCAGTCTTGTACTTTGACTCAGTAATACTGCTTCCAGAAATCTAGCCCGGACCTGCATAAAAATTTATGTTCTACATAGCAATTACTGATAAAAGTAGAACACTGGAAACAAAGATCTAAATATCTTGCAATATGGAATTGGTTAAATAAATTATAGTCCATGTGGTATAGACACAGAAATACCAGGTAGCTATTAAAATGGTGGTGTAGTCTTCATTTTTTTTTTTTTTTTAAGGTACTTATTCCTGGTACAGGTTTGTTGTAGCCTTCCATTTTTATACCATGGGAAATTGTGCAAACTACACTGTCAAGTTAAAAAAAAAAAAAAAGATAATCATTTCTTCTGGTGACATGTAATAGATGCAAAAACAATGTGGTTTCAGTTTTTCATTAAAAAGTATAATAGGCGTGGTAGCTCACGCCTGTAATCCCAGTACCTTGGGAGGCTGAGGCAGGCAGATCACTTGACCCCAGGAGTTTGAGACCAGCCTGGGCAACATGATGAAACCCCGTCTCTACCAAAAAAAAAAAAAAAATAAATAATAATAATAATAATAATAATAATAATAATAATAATTGAGCTGGGCCTGTAGTCTTGGCTACCCAGGATGCTGAGGTGGAAGGATCAACTGAGTCTGGTCAAGGCTGCAGTAAGCCATGATGGTGCCACTGCACTTCATCCAGCCTGGGCGAGAATGAGACCCTGTCTCAAAGAAAAAAAAAAAAAAAAGTATAATAATACCCAGCTCATTACATCATTAAACAAAGTGGAGAAGGCTTGCATGAACCGGTGACAAAGGTGTAGCTTCTACAAAGGGTTATGATTAATACAGCTATAGCACCTGAGGTCCAGAAAAGCGAACAAAAAACTTCTGTTAAATTTATCCCCTTAACTATTCATTTTTTGATTCTCTTTTCTCTTCTTCTTATAAATTAGTTCAAACCTGAATAAAATCTTTTAATTCAAGCTTTTGTAATATGGAACTTGTACGTTATTGAATAAAACATTTAAAAGTCATGGTAAATGTTAAAATAGCTGAGGTTTTATGACCAAAATGAATCCTCTTTCACATCAAATGGGAAAGAATATAAGATTCAACACTGGATTCATTGATTAATTTTTTTGCGTATAAAAGTTTTTGTTTTGTTTTGTTTTGTTTTTTTGAGGTGGAGTCTTGCTCTGTCGCCCAGGCTGGAGTGCAGTGGCTCCATCTCGGCTCACTGCAAGCTCTGCCTCCCGGGTTCATGCCATTCTCCTGCCTCAGCCTCCCAAGTAGCTGGGACTACAGGCATCCGCCACTACACCTGGCTAATTTTTGTATTTTTAGTAGAGACGGGGTTTCACCTTGTAGCCAGGATGGTCATGATCTCCTGACCTCGTGATCTGCCCGCCTTGGCCTTCCAAAGTGCTGGGATTACAGGCATGAGCCACCACGCCCGGCCACGTGCAAAAGATTTTTAAGCCTATGAACTTGATTATTTCACTATGACCTGTAATGTTTTTCAAAATGCGTAAGAGCATTTATATCTTAGAGTATACAATGTATCTATTGAAATAAATAAAATAGCATATCTTTAAAAATAATTATGGTGAAGTTGTTTTGATATACTCAACTTTGCCTGCCCTCTCTTGATTTTGAAATTTGGTATGTTGTTTGGTTACAGTTTGTGAAGCACTTTTCATTTGGGTAACCTCTACTCCCTCCAGTTGCACTTAAAGTCACTTAAAGCCACAGAGAGGTTTTTCTACCTTCGGCACCCATTTTAGGACAATTTCTGGTAATTGCTAAGTAAATGTCAGCTAGTTGACTTCCTGCATGACCTGTTTTGGCCTGTTTCCTGCTCGTTAGCATCTCCACTAGAGGGCAGGCTGGGCTGGTGAGGAGAGAAAGAAAGGAGCGTTTTCATTCTCTAGCTAATCCTGTCCTCCTTTCCTCTACTGCAGCCCCCAGCCTGGTGACCACACAGAGGTCCTGGGACAGTTCCATTTTTGGAAGTGACTGATGCTCATACAGGTGTTTAAACATTGCCTTGTAGCATTCTCTGTGTCGATGGAAATGGAGAGTGTGCTAATTTACCTAGGGACTTAAAATGTGTTGACTAGAAAGTCACTAAGTAATTATGGGATGTTCTAATACTCTCATATCTTGTGTCTGTAAGAATCAGATTTTTCTGTGTGTAGGGTAGGAGCTACAGATGTAATATAAGTAAATACCCTTTAGTGACCCGGGGTAGTGGCTCACACCTGTAATCCCAGCACTTTGGGAGGCTGAGGCAGGTGGATTGCTTGAAACCAGGGGTTCAAGACCAGCCTGGCCAATATAGTGAGACCCCATCTCTAAAAAAATAAATAAATAAAAATTAGCCAGGTGTGGTGGCTTGCTGCTGTAGATACTTGGGAGGCTGAGGCAAGAGGATCATTTGAGCCCAGGAATTCGAGGCTGCAGTGAGCTGTGACCACACTACTGCATTACAGCCTGGGCAACAAAGCAAGTCCGTGTCTCAGGAAAACACCAGAAACCCCTTTAGCCCTGATTTTGAATAGAACATATCAGTATGAATTCATGAGGTTTTATCTTCTGTCGCTACCCACCAAAAAGATCTAGAAACAATGACCAATCCAATATCAATGAACACTCCTAGCATCCAGATTGTGGTCTTAAAATGCCATTTCCCCCTGAAAGAACCCAGACCTTCTTAGAGAAATGGCTGATTCCAGGTTTGGGGAAGGAAATGAACACGATGAGCATGGA